CCAGGAACAAAGAAAATGTCTTCAACTACACCATTTTGAAATCCCAGTTCAACCTGCAAGAAGTGCATTTCCAAATGATCAGCATATTATTTAACATAGCATAGAGCACACATGAAGTGGAGGAAATATACAAAACCTCTGTGGAACCTCTAACTTCAATTTTTAAATCAGGATGTGAAGCACGTAATTTGTACTTTCCTGTACCGTAAGAAGGAAAACATGAAACGTTAAAAATGGTAAGAGAGAGAGGTTTCTATAATACAAATTATTCTGGTAGACAAAGAGTTCATGTAACGTGGGGCAGAGGAGTAAGTATGACCAAGTTACCATGCACGTTATTCTAGTAGATGAAGGCAAATTATCTTGTTACTATCCATTCAGTCAAATTTTATACAGAAGATGCCTTCTGTTTGCTTACATTTTACAAAACAACAAACCATAACAGCAAAAAGATAAAATAACAATGAATGAATCAATAGATGAAACATAGAAATTCCACTAACAAGAAAGTAACATGGAAGCCTCCATACCTGGAATAATATTTTTGAACAAGTACCTTCCATTTGGCATTGTTAATTCTGAAGAAATGATATCACCATGAAGAGATAAAAGGTCAACATTCACATTTGCAGGACCTCCATTCTTGAGTGAGCAGCTCTGTCCACCAACAGCTCCGACAACCCTACCAGATAGGGTAAATCTGCAACACATAAACATGCAAAGGATTATTGACATTGACATTGACATTGATATTGACATTCAGAGCACGAGAAAAGAATGGAACTCAGATTGCACATAATCTGGACTGAAATAAAAATATACAAAGAAAGAAGAAAAGCTATAAAACAAACCCTGTAAAATGAAAATTAATATCTTCATTATTGTTGCAACCATTGTCATCAATGACAACGGGAACCTACAAAATAAATTTTAGCTTTAAATGTAAGAACACACAGGTCATTTATCAAGAGAATAAAGGATGCGCAGCCTGTAAGAAAATCTCTCCTAAAACAACAATGAACCAAACCTTGTCTGGATCCCAAGACCATCCTTCTGGTCCACTGATTTTAATAACAAAAGAACCCTGTAAACGGAAACCCTACAGATCAGTCAAACCGGGAAATACATGCCCACATAGGGAGTTTGGGTAGGCATGCAGCATGCCACGGCACCACATACGGTATGGTTTGAACATGCAAATAAAATTGGGAAAAACTATTAAAACAGGTTGCAAACCAGTGAGTTAAAAGATTTAGAGAGCAGAAGTGTTCTTGTGCTGACGTTATGTTAGAGTAGCTAAGCAAACACGTCCCTGAAAATTTCAAATATGAATTCACATAGTCAAAGCCCATAATATGAGTGAGTCATCGCAGACCAACCTTATCATATACTGGAATGAAGTAGTATCCATTTGGAGCACACTGAGTTCTTTCCTTTACTAGCCCATCTAACGTGCGAAGCTCAACCTACAAATATACATAAATTTCAAATAAGCATCGACATACTATTGAAATCAGATGATAAAACAGTTAAAATAATCCCCCAAAAAATGCGGTAACGAATTCTTATTGACGTAACAAATACACAATGTTAAATCCGTACCGTGATGTGAGAATAATCTAACTTTGCATCGGTTGCCCTCCTCGATTTGATCACAGACGAACTCGCCTACAAAACGATCGATTCATGTTCGGTTTAATAACGGCGAGAACCAAAGGAGTTTAAAAAAAAAAGTCAAAATGACCGTTGCGTCCCAACTGAAATCAACGATTTCAGATCAAGAAACACGGAAATAACTTTAAAAAAAAATTCTACGCTAAAACGAAATTGCTCTGGATGAGTTCACCGCCTTGGAACTAACGGTCATCTTGATTTCCAAGAAATAACGAAATCAAAGATTCGGAAATAATTTTCTTGAAACTTTCTTGCATTTTCGCATCAAAGAAACGGGTTAAAGAAAATAAAAACTCAAAAAAAAAAAAAAACTGTTAGAAGTTTACCTCAACGAATCCTCCACAGCCATGGACGGAATTGGCGGAGGCAGATGAGATTGAGTAGACTAAGATCAAGAAGGAAAGTAAAGCATCTCTGATCTTCATCTTTCCGATGATTCTAATTTGATTTGTCGAGGCTTTAGAGCCCGACTAAAGTGCTCAGAAAAAACAAAGACTGAGGTTGGATCTGGTACTTCGACGTTATAAATCACGTCTTTTTTATTTCAGATGGCTGGTTTCGGCAGTTGGGAGGGTTTTTGTCAGATCTGTAAGCGAATAGGTTATGGACTCGACCCAAATCAATTTTGGATCGATTTTTAATGAAAACCCAATAAAAAGCCTCTTGATTTGATCAGAAATAACTTGAATAAAACGGTCAAAATCGAAACCCTAAAACTGAAATGCCTAACATCTAATCGACGTGGTAAATTAATAAATTGCTACCTGAAACACTAAATCCTAATGGAGCGGTAGTAATATAGTATGATACCTGTCCATGAATTAAAATTTTATGGGTTTATTATTAAATAGTTTCCAATTATATCACACTTTTGTGTTTAAAAATAAAAAAATAAAAAATCGTAATTAGATATTCAAATTTCACTTTTGTTAAGTACAATTCTAATTATTTTATATTTGTTTAATTTATTGCTTTTATTATTTAATTATAATTATAACTATTAAGCCCATTAACTAACGGTGTTAATCAAAACATTAACATGATAGAAATTAACCAACAAAACTACATCACATGTCATATTATTTTATTTTTAATTTTTAAAATGAAAAAATAAAAGGTTGTTTTTCAAATTAAAAAATAAAACATCATAAATTAAAAACCTATTTTTTACCTTCGAATTTTGTTTGTATTGTTTTTTTTTTTTATGTAGTAACATTTTTAACATGTTATTATTTTTTATGTATTATTATTTTTACTTAAATTTCATCGCTTTTTTATATATTACTACTTTTTACGTATTAACTTTTTTTTTTACATATTATTTATTATTTTTGTATGTTACTATTTTTTATGGATTATTATTATTTATTTATTTTCATTTATTCTTATATATTAACATTGTTAATATATTACCATTTTTTCTTATATGTTATAGTTATTTTCTTATGTATTATCATTTTTTTAATATTTTATCACTTTTTATATTATCATTTTTTGTAAATTTGGTGCATATGGAATAAGATAATAATAATCTTATACTATGCTTTGTTTGTATCTAAAGAAATTAATAGAATTATAAAAATAATCAATCATTCTCGTTGCATGAGATGATTAAATTCTTCAAAAGTGGATAATATTATTTTTTAATTCATGGGATTGATTTTATATTTTTATTATATTTTTAAAAATTACATAATATTTAAATTATATAAATTTTGAATAAAAATAATTTTGATCAATAAATAAATTATCTTATCATAATTATTATATACATCAAATACAATATATAATGATATTATTTAATCTAATCTTATTCATAATATTATTTTATTTTATCCTATCATAATATTATTCTTTAATAAAAATTTAATTGATAATAAATATTTAAAAATGTAATTAATTATAAAAAAGACAGATGTTTGGATAACTATTTCAGTTTAAGAACTTTTTTTTTTTTAATTATCACAAACTAAACCAGCTATAAGTTTGGAATAAAAAAAAGGAAATTTTGGATATTTTTAATCATTGTGTTTGTAGATTAACACGTGACAATAAAACAAAAAACCAGGCAAAGGGTCCAAAATTTACGTGGTTGGCTATCTAATCTAAGCCATAAAAAAGTCACAAAATTTTGGTCAAAAACGAGGCGGCTATTTGAATTCGTAGCGCAGCGCACCAGATGGATTTGAATTAGTTTGTCTAGTTGACATCGGTAAGATTGAAAGTATCAAAAGAAAAATGGACCAAATATGTGGAGCTCATTCGATGATTAATGCTATTTTCAGTAAAAAAAACAAACTATGAACGTTTTTGACCACAGTAATTGCAATTCAAGTGAAGTTTTCCAATAAATTCAATCACACGTGAAATTGTAACACTCCTTCAACCTCCGTTTTTAGTTTTTAAAATTTTTTATTAATGAGTTAAAAATAAATAAAATAGACAAATATTGATTGAATTTTGAAATTTGAATCACTTATTATGTTATTAGAATTGAGTTTGAAAGTTACAAATTTAAGAAAATTTTACGTGTATAATATTTTTTTCATTCAAATAATTAATAAAAAAAATTTAATGTTAGAATGAAAAATAAAAAAATTTTCAGACAAATGTGATTTAATTTATAATCAAATAAATATAAAAATTATACCTTGTAATTTATATATTTTTATAATGTTCATTTTTATTAAATACATGTAAAATATATATAATTATCATATTATAATTTACATTGATATGTCAAATAAAAAATGTATTTGTGAAAATTTATATTCAACCTGTCAGATATTGTTTGTTTTGATATGAAAGTTTCACAATTTTATCACATAAAAGGGCATCACAAGTTTGGGTTTAACTCTATAAATGTTAGATTCTAGATATGACTTCTTATCGTGTAATATTTAATGACTCTTATGATATAGTACTTAATTCTTATCGACTGATAACAGTTTTAAAATCATTTGTGGAGACTTACATCTAACCTGTGAGATATTATCTGTTTTGATATAAAAATTACATAATTTTATCTCATAAAAAATACTTCGTAAATTTAAATTTAAGTCTCAATTATATATTATATTATATTCACACATTATCTAGATTGAAAACGTTATTATCTTAATTTTTTTTTAAGAAATTTATATATAACTTTAAAAAAATGTTAAATTATTTTATTTTTATAAAATTTTTCATATATATCATATATAAAATTATTAATTACAATAAAATTTAACTTAAGTTTTAAGTTGATAAAGTAATTAAATGTTAAGTAATCTTGAAAATTTTGTGTATATATACTATTTTATTTCATTAAAAGAAGTAGTACTGGTTAAACAATGAAGTACAAGCAAATTGCAATTTGTTGGACTATCAAATAGTTAAGGCGAATTTGTCTCATAGGTCGGCTAACGAACGAGGACCGAAATGAGCTTGTAAAACAAGCAACAAAAAAGCACCCGCTTCCATAACGAAATTTCGTGCTCGACGATGGTTCAGGTCCTCTTGCTAGCGTTCTTGGTCTTGGGCGCCGGGCTAACCAGACAGGTCAGCTCGCACGAGGAATCGGGAGGGTGGAGTTGCGAGTCAAACTCGGAGATCCGAGTGCAGGCGGATTTCAGACCCGGAGTCATCACCCTCGATGGTCACGCCGATGATTGGAAAGACATTGAGGGGTTCGAGTTCTCTCTTCTCCCTGCTCTGGACCCAGACGAGGACCTTGAGTACAAAGATGGAAAAATGACAGTGAAGGTAATGCTATTGCTTGGACTTAAAAAAAAAAAAATTGACCGATGAGTTTTGATGCGAAAGCTTTTTGTTGGATTTTCTTAGGCTTTACATGATGGAAATAATGTCTTCTTCTTGTTGCAAGTTGATGGGGACTACGTCTTCTCCAAAGGGTAAGTTTCTTCAGAACTAGATTTAGTGTATTTTTTGATGTGTTGGACGTTCAATTGAAATGAACAACTATCGAACCCAAAAGATATTGGCCTTTTTTGGTCCTGTTTCAAATGTCCAATAAAGTTGGATTGCTGGTTCCTTACGCAAATAGTTAGAAAAAGGAAGTTTATTAAATTCTGATGCCATATATTTGCTTTATGCATCAAGATATCATTATCCGTGGCATGCCAAATCGGTTCATTTACTTTGTCTTTTGGTGCTAGGTTTAATTTTCGTTCCTTTCTATTGTGTAAATTGAATAGGGAGCATTTTGTAGATGAATCTGTTGCCACACGCTGACTTATCCATGTTAAAGCCTTATGTCTAACTGGGTTTTTAATCTTTACTGCAGGGACAATAGAAAATGCCCATCTGTGGCTCTCATGTTTCAAATTGGCGATGATGCTACGTACCATAATGTAAGTTATTCCATCTAACTCTTGTGGTATGTTTATCTTGCTTTGATACTGTTTGTTACATTCTCCTTAATGCAAGGATGAAAGTTGAGAAAGTTTATTGTGGTGCAAGATGGGTGGCTGTAAAGAACAAACGGGCTCTTGCACAAACAAGACTTGCAAAGGTCATGAAGTAGACATCATGCACTTCTCTATTGGAAATGCTATACCTGGAAGGCTTTATGGTGGCAACCCGATAGATAACAGAGATGGAAATGGAGGTGACAGGTAATGTAGTACAACATCATTTGTAGTACAAAGAATCTTTGGCCTCCAAAATAGTGGGTGATCTACTCTTCTGGTGAAATGTTCCATAATTTAGTATTTTATGATAACACTTATTTGCTGACAGGTTTGGTCATTTGGTTGATGTATATGCTTGGAACCCGCACTGTAGATACCTTGATGGAATGGGTCCTTCTGGTAAATTCCATGACCTTTAATCTTATTGGCCTGTTTTCATTAGTTTGATATATGCTTTTTTTGAGATGAAAACGTGGGACTTCCTTTGAGAATGGCAAAGCAAAGTGGATGATGCACTGAAGAAAGTGGCTACAGGGGTCATCAAGGTGGCATAGAATGAGAACTACTCCCAAAAGTCAAATTTTTATCTTTTACGAGACACTAGATTGCTTGCTTAATGGATATGATACCCACTTTAAAGAACTTTTTGAAGATCTTGAAGTGTTAATCACTTCTTTAATGACATTAAATCATCAAGATGGCACATCAACAATTATTTTTAATCTGATTCACAATGCTGTGGTTTTATCCTTAACGTGTTAGGATTGTCTGCCGGAATTGCTCATCATCCTGCCCTGGTGGCGTTTTAAGTGTTGACATTACCTTTTTATCACTGTCCCTACACTTTTCCATGTCATCTTCCACGGTTCTGCTTCTCCTTTAAGTGCCTTCAACCAGGATGAAATCACTCATTTGAATTGTTGGTGGTTTCTTCTATCTTACACTATTATTTTGAGAAGGAAAATAATTTTGTGATAGGATAATCTAGTTTTTTTATTGTAGTTTTATGTTTCTCCTAAATTTTCCAATTCTTATCTTCTTTTTTTTTTTTTGGGATAAATTTCCAACTCTTATCTTCATAGGACAAATTATGCCTCCTTTTTCTCTTATTTTGTCAGATATTGTATCATCCTCTTCAGTACATTTATGACTTAACAGAGTTCTCAATTCTCACTCTCAGTTTAAGGTGTTAGAATTATTTATTTTTGGTAGAAGATGAAAATTCCCTTATTCTATTTGATTATTTTTCCTTTGATAACTTACCTTTGCATATGACTGTGAGTTTCTTCTCTGCTTTGTGCATAAATCTCATGATCTGAACTGCTAGCCTTCTCTTATAAGGATCATCCTCCTTTCCAGGATAATTTTTGTTTGTAGTGTTTGTTCTTCCTAGGAAATGGTTCATTAAAATTATATTGTTATGGGAAACTTCCTAGTTTTTTTCCTTCATGCTCTCATTTTGGCTAGAAGGAGATGATTTGTCTCAACATTGAAAACTTGTAAATCCATTACTCAGACAAATGATGGTTCTTGAGTTTAAATGCTGCATTTCTATGTCTGCAAGATGTTCCCTTCTTCCTGCCTTATTCTTTATTATTTTTCTATTCCTCTAGGGGTATGCTTTACCACAAAGCTAGTGGATTCTTATTGATGTCTTTTAGTTGATTGATTGGCTTTGAGATACGATACATGACAAAAAGGAAAACTTGTAACCTACATTTTCTTGTGGCTTTATTTAGTATATTTAGCTAACGATGACTTGCTACTGTGTCTCTGTCCTTTCTCTCTCATTCCCCACCTCCTGTCCCCTTTAAAAGGTATTGGTTGTAATAAAGTTTTTATTTCTTCATTGCTTATTCTTAAGATTTATCCTTCTTTCCTGTTAGGAAATGATTCTAGTGCACAGAATAACTGGAAAGGGGCATGGTGGCACAGTAGCTTCACAGTTCATTCAGGTAATTAATCTATCATGATTATATACTAATGGAGTTCTATATCTATTTTTACTTCTCCCAAGCCATAAGTTTATAAATCAGTTCAGATGTATGGACTTATTGTTGCCTGGCCATTTCTAGTAGAAAATTAGTATATCCAGTACAAAAAGGGTTGAATGGTCTATGGGCTGGTATGCATTTCTACAAGATGCTTCAATGTTCTCAAACCTGCTGAGTATTTATTGCTCTTTTTTGCTTGTTTTTGGAGCTTAGATAGGCAATTTCCATGCATCAAGTTGGTCGGGAACATTATATTCTGCAACAAAATAACAAATGAACTTGGTTTATTTGTTGTATTTCCCATGAATGATTTTTAATGTCAGGAAAAAATTTCTGGTTTTGTTAGCATCGTTGTCTGTTGGTAAATCAGTTTCGATTTTTTTTTTATTCTGTTTATTTTTAATCAATGTTATGCTCGAGTGTCTTAGAGAGTTAGAGCCAATACTTCCTCTTTCAAATTCTCAACATTAAACTTACATACTTTTGACAGGATTTGTTGAGGAAGACAGTCCTTATACCACAGGAGGTCAGAAAGGAACATATTATTTTGAATTTTCTAGGCCATTGAGAACCATGGATCGTCTTCAACAGGTTAGATAATAATGTTCTGCCTTTAGCCTTTTAGCCAAAGGTATTAAATGTTACAAATGTAAACCCACTTTTTTTGTGTTTCTGGAAAAATTCTTTAATCTTTTAATTATACAATGTGTGTATTGCTGTTTCTCTTGACAAAGTAGACCAGGGATCATGGCCTCAAAATTGTTCTTACCAACATTCATAGTCATTACTATTGGTGGAGCCCTTTTTCCTAATGAACCTTGCCCACTTATATCACTTAAAATGTTTTCACTATTTTCTGTTTTTCTTTTTGGCATATATTGGGCCTTGAGCTGCATAAGAGGTAGCTTTCTCCCATCTCATAAACCACCTCTCCTCCTAGATATTTTTGGTATTGCAGCTACTAAATGGCTTATTGCTAGGCTGCATCGTCGAAGACTTGAGTTAACCGTTTCATGACATCATAATTTTAAATAATGGGTTCAAGGTCTCATTACAAGTAGAACTCACTCAATTCATGTTAATATAGCTGCTTCTAGCTAGTTGTTGATATGTACTTTTGAAGACAAAATTTTTTGCTTATTTAGAAGGTAAAACAAATAAACATGTAAACCCACTCCAAGAAAATTTCGGCTCTGTACGTGTTCGTCACATAATATCATACAGTTCCTTTAGAACACTGATGTTAAAAATGAAATTGAATATATTAAAAGTTCTGTTTTAAAACTTAAACCGATAATGCTGTTGTTGTTCGTTTATCCAAAAGAAAAAGGATTATGCTGTTGTTCATTTCGGTTAAAGTTTTTACCTTGCAACAGCGGGAAACAAATGACTTCTCTCTTGCATTGCAGGATGTTCAGTTCACAATTGGTGGATCAAGCAAGATGTCTGTTGCATTCTGGTATCCAGTTGATGGGAATCCATGGGTTGGATCTGGACATTATACCATTAACTGCGATTGGGTGTCAATGGATATTGCTTTAGGTGGTTCCATGCTAACCAAGTCTGCACCAAGCAGCTCCTGGGAAGCAACCAGCGCCTTTGCCCTTTTGTTCTCAGTAGCAGCACTTTGTGTAGCAATATTTGTGGCATATCAGGTTTCTAGACCCAGGAGTGTCCCATTTACACCAATTGAAAATCTTTAGATAGTTATACAGGTCTGCCATTGCACAATTAATTGAGTTTGAGCTTGTCATACGTTAGGGATTGTACTATATTGCTTGAGTTTGTACTGCCTAACTCTGTACTTCGAACAGTTCCCACTTTATTAAAATTTTTATTAAAAAGTTTAGATTTAGTTTATTTTCTGCTTTTTTGGTGAGACTTGTCTCTTCTTGATGTGTTGTCTGGCTCCATTTCCTTGGATACTTGAGATCTAAATGTATTTCATATTTTAATTTGTACAAAAAATTGTATATTATATGTGAAAAATATTATTATTAATATTTAAATTAATTCATTTCAACTGTATTTGATATCCATCATTCATATTGATAATTATGAAAAAAATAATAAAATAAACCTAGCAACTGTCAATAACATCATTTCACTTATTTTTGTTTTTTACCATTTAACCATCGTCATACCTTCTTTTTTTTCTTTCAACATCTAAAGTTAAACTCTACCGATATTATTGTTTAATATTTCAACTTTAACTGATATTTTATCAATAGAAAATTTTTTAATTCAATAACTATTATTAAATTTTAAAAAATACAAAATCAAAAAATCAAAACAAAAAAAAAAATTCAATACCCATTCAACATCAAATTTTCATAAAAATTAATATAAAAGTTACAGCTATAAAAATTAAGACTCAGGTCCATGACAACTAAATCCAAGAAAATGCAATGATTTTTTAATTCAAGAATCATTATTAAACTTAGAAAACCCAAATGTAAAAACTCTAAAAAAAAATCAAATTTCAATATAAAAAAGAAAAAAATTAATACACACCCAAGAATTTACTATAGACATACACTTACGGAAACCAAGGTCCAATGGGCCTACAACAAATAAGTTTCACTCGGAGATATATTTGGTCTTCTTTTTCTTGCTTCCCCTACGCAGACTCGCAGTATAAACGAATGAATAAAACGACTGCGTTTAGTATACTCTAAAAGAGTCGAGTCAGATACTTTTGTAATTTGCTCCATCACTTCTGAGGCACTCACCTCAAAATCAAAAACCTCTTTTTATAAATAAAAAAAAAAAAAAAAAGAAAGGAAAAACCTTAAACCACTGATCAGAGCCTAATTTTTTTTAAACGCTTTGTTTATTTCCTGGCAGTTCTTCGATTGGCCAAAAAAAAGGGCAGTTCTCCAATAGAGTTAAAAGCAGTGTTGATTTCTTCACTAGATGTTTGGTACCTAATTTATATCTTTAAAATTCTCTCCAATGGCTATTGAAGGAAGCAAAATGTCTCAAGATTCAGCGTATCAAATCCCGCGCAAAATCAACGTACAAAAATTCGTAGAACCCGGCACCACCGAGCTCGAGTTGCTTCACTCAACTATATCAACTCGACTCAACAACGATTTCCGGTCTCGTAGAAACAAGAGAAGGAGGACCACCGCATTCGACGATCAAGTCGCCGATAGGAGAAACATAAAGAGGCTGAGATTAACCAATGTTGATAAAAGCAATGTTTCGGGTTTAGATACGGAGTAGAGGAAGATCAACTCTCCCCTTCAACGTTGTGTTCGTCGGAGATTGGAATTTAAAAAGAATCCCGATAGCGGTTTCGTTACTTCAGGGGATCGTACCAAGAGGCTGAGAACGCACGTTTGGCACGCGAAGCGGTTTACAATGACGAAACGGTGGGGGTTTACCTTCCTTTAGGATTGATAGGCAGGTAAATAAGTTAATTGTTAATAGTTTAGAAAAGCCCAAATTTTTACAATCTCTTATTTGAAATTCCCGGGTTTATATGATACGGAGGAAGGGGATCGAGGGCAGTGTTGAGGTGGTTCAAAGATGGAGTGCTTGTCCATGATGCGAGCTATAATGTTGCTGTTCAACTGGAAGGTCCAGAGGCAGGCACGTCCTTTTTCTTTTTAAATCTAATTTTCTTCTTTTGGGGTTCTTTTAGTTGATGATAGTAATATTGTAATAACTGCATCATACTTTTTAATTTATTTTTTATATGCTATCAGGATTTTTTAATGGCAATATTACAGATGGTTCTGGTGCCTTCCCCGTCCGTTCAATCTGAAGGTGTTTCAGATTCTGTTCTCTCCGGTAGTACTTATGGAACTGCTATGGTAGGCCATTCTATTTCACCTTTTCTTAGATTAGAAATACTAATACTAAATCATTTACTTGCTCTTTTTTTTTTTCAGCTTCATCATGTTGGAGCACCTTTTTCACAGCCAATTGCACCTGTGACTTATATGTGGGGTCCTCATAGGCAGAGTAAAGAAGATGACAATAATAATTGCCTTGCTGCTGTTGAATGTAATAAGCCATGTAGCATCGACCATCATTCTTGCTTGTGCGACTGTGGCGTTGGATTCATGCCTCAGCTTTTAGTGAGGGATATGACGCTCTAAAATGCGCTTGTCAAAAACTGGTAAACTATCATCATTGAACTTTTAAGAATGTTTTGAATTATGGTACAATTCATGAAGCTCATGAGTGTGAGCCAGCTATTTCATTTGGTTTCGCATAGGCTTTAAATATAAAGACTACTAGAATACATGTTATGTGCTGTTATTATGTTAGACAGTAAGTTTTGTGTTTAAATATTTTTCAGATGATTGAGGAGAGGAATCACTATTAATATTTTTTCACGTGAGGGTCAACTTGCAAAATTGAAATTAATTGGGTCCAAGTTATTTCAGTTTCTTCAGAAGACTGATCATCCTGTCACTTGGTTAGTTATTTAAAGGTAGATTCTGATAATTTGAACTAAGATAATTTAAAATGAGCTAAACAAGTTGATTGCCTTTGCAGCATTGTGGAGAATTGTTGGCAACTGCAAAAGTGTTCAATTGCGAAGGATGGTGATGACTTCAAAATAAGAAGTCTTTTAAACTTGAAAATGAGGAACATGTTTCTTCTTTTGCACTTTTATCATTTACCATCAAGGATCCTCGTGTATTGCCTGCTAAAAGGACCACGATTTTTCCTGAGCCAGGTTCTATCCTTAATGTGCAAGAAATTGAAGCTAATGACTGTGTTAACTTAACTGGAAATTTAGATAAGAATGAAGAGGTAGCCTCACCCTTATGTTCAAAACCTAAAGGAAATGGAATTTTATCTTACAACAAGAATTTGTGGGATGGTAGTGGTAGAATAGATCCCCCAGAGAAGAAAATGAACTTTGCATGATGGGTTTTTTTTGCCTTGATGATCCAAAATCAAGGCCCTGAAAGACTTCAAACAAGGTGCAGTGCACGCGTTCTTGCCCTATTTGGCTTCTAAAAAATAGTAACAAAATGGGCTTTCCTATGGGGTAACTACTTTGTTCCTTTCTTCCCCAGATTAACTATTTCTAGAAAGAAGTTGACTGCTTTAAATTTTAATGCATTAGTTTCTTTGTGTGTTATGCATGCATTTAAGAATCATCATATCCAACCAATTTAGTAAAGGAGAAGAGCGAATAGTTTGGTTTTTTCTTACATTGCATAACAACTCTTTTTGGTGGGGAATTGTGGCTAAGATTTTGAACTTTTGCATGTTTTACATTTCACAACAAATCATCTTGAGACCAAACAGCAGCTCCTCTTAAAAAAAAAAAAAGAGAGAGAGAGACAAAGGAGATCTTTACCTTTGAGACAAGCACAACGGAGGCAAATGGTTCTAGTTTGTAAGCTTTGAGCTCAGCTCACGAACTTGTGCTCTATGAGTTTTAAGTTTAGGCTTGTGAATTAGAACTTGGATGTTTAACATAAAAGGTTTTGTTATTACTTTCTATGGGTTGAGACAAATGTCTGGATAAAGCTATTTGGCAATGGCATTTCCATGCTGCTTTAGTTTTACCTTGATAGATCAGGCAGGTTTTGTTTATTTTCTTAGCCTTGTGATCTCTTTTTTTTTTTTTGCCATCAAGGAGGCAAAATTTTTTCTTTGCAAATTTTTGATACAGAAATCTATCTTAGAACTCATCAATTTATTTTCTTCCCTCATTCTTAATTGCAGATGGTCTATTATACTGCCTATAAGTTGGGCTAAGGTCTTCTGGCTTTTTCTTGTCTCAATGAGAGAGAAACACTGGGTTGCATGGGAAGTAAGTGTGTGGCTTTAAGAATCCTGTCTTGGAGTAATAAATTATCCAAAATTGTGTGTTAATTTTCTTCTTTTGCAGATTGGACTGCCTTATTTTCCTTCATATTTCCCTGACTGCAACGCGTACTTATCCCTAAAGGAAATTGAAGCCACTGCCTCTAAGCAAAATGCAGAGCAGCATTCTCCTGCTATAAGACTTTTCAGAATTCCCATTCCACGATCTTGGAATGTTGTCCATGCTGCTTTTGACCGACTATCCATGAAGGTGAAAGAAGCTGAAATTTCAAGTGGAGAAAATATGGTTGGGAAAAACTCGATGACTAATTCAAGTTATGAAAGAAGTGATGTAACATCATTCAGGTGTCACAATTCATTTGGTGGGATTGTAGCAAGGATATCCAGTATGCTGATGGACTTCTTGAATGGCATCCATGGTGAACATTTGCTTTTTGCCCTCAATTTCAAAATAGCAAGTCAAGTTTTGTTCAGGTTATGAATGATAAAGCATGATGGGAAAAGGCCAAAATCGGAGTACCCAAATTAGCTACAGCTATAAGATATGTCTCGTCGGGGTTCATCTTCATGCATACATGGAGGGTGTTTTTGAAGATGGAGCTCTTGTATGTGCACCTTGTCTCACGGATATATCAGTTTGGACTTCCAGATAGTCATTTACTAACATTCCTTGCATATTCTGAGTGCTTCTTTTTTTGAAATCTGCAACCTTGCATGCTGGTGAGTACTTACACGCTGTATATCTTCAAATTATTGGGGCTTCAGCATGCTTTAAATATTTACAAAGCATGACTATAGTTATGTGACAAACAAGAGGTTGTGCAAGTGTCATGAGTCGAGACTTAAGCTCCGAACCCGCACGGTTTCGAGACCTGGGCATCCACTCATCCGGCGTCTCAGATCAGTCTTCCTGTCACGGTTCACATCCTTGTGAAGTATTGTCCGCTCTGATCTCTCTGGCCTCACGGTTTTGTCCTACAAAAGGCGCCTCACAAAGCAGAGGTGGTGTGAACCCTTATATATCCCAGTGACCCTCTTATTATGTTCGATATGAGATTCAGGATTCTTCTTTAGGTTCGTGATATTCTCCTCCACCCGACCTCGTGACGTCCTCATCACGGAGGTTGACCACCCTGCCTACCTCCCTTGAAAGGCTTGGCGTGGATCGAACCTGCCTATCTCCCTTAAGGAGCTTGGTGTGGATCGAACGGTTTAGGGTTGGTTCTGATACCACTTGTAACGGGTTGAGACTTAAGCTCCGAATCCGCACGGCTCCGGGATCCGGGCATCTACTTATCTGGCGTCCCAGATCAGCCTTTCTGTCACGGTTCACACTCTTGTGAGGTATTGTCCACTCTGGTCCCCCTGACCTTACGGTTTTATCTTACAAAAAGCGTCTCACAAAACAGAGGTGGTGTGAATCCTTATATATTCTAGTGATTCTCCTATTATGTTCGATATGGGATTCATGACTCTTCTTTAAATCCGTGACACAAGAATCATCTAGGTGTATGCTCGGACATCTTTTTCAGGGTGCAAGTACCACCTCTATTTAATATAGCAAGACCGGTTTTTTATTGTCCTCAACACATGTTGCATAAAATTTACTTTGTCTTTTATCTGCAAGATAAACTATTTCTTTTTTTGGCCAATTACGAGATTAATTAGTTGAATTTGGATATATTGCAGCACAGGTAGCATTGAAGGAGGACTTGAAATGCCTAATTCTGGTGCGAGGTCATACTTTAAAGAACAATCTTCTGGTAAGTGGGAACTCGAGGTACCAGAGGACCCTGCTTCTAGAGAATATTATTGGTGGCCAGTTGGTTTTGTCACTACCGGATTTGTTAGAGGGAGGTTAGTTTAACTGCTTTTTCTATATTATTACTGGCAAAAGTTCGATTCTCTTCAGTATTGCATATAGTAATGTTCTAAGATTCTCTCCAGTTTTGCGTATAGTAATTTTCTTTGTATATATATGCAGCAAAAAGCCAACGGCAGAAGCTTTCAGTGAGGCTTTCTTGCTAGCTTGTCTGAGAGAGAAGCAGTGGAAGGAGATGCCAGTGAATCGTAGGACGAAGGAGATATATGTCCTTGTTAGGAACGTTAGAACTTCGGCGTATAGACTCGCTCTTGCTACCATTATCCTGGAACAACAGGAAGAAATGTGATATTCTTGTGAAATTCTGCCTACCTCGTTTATCAGCAAAGTATTGAAGAAAACACATTTACCATGTACCTTTTTACCTTTTTAAACTGCGGAAAATGCTTGGATGGTGGGAAGACGGCTTGTGAGAGCATACGTAAGCATGTATGCCTTTGATTCCCAGTCAACAATGAACCATTTCTTCATTTTGTCACTAATTTATTAGCATGAAATTATCAAACAAATATTATATTATTTTCCAACAAATCACCAATTGTGACTTTGGATACAAAGAAAATGGCACGGTTACTCACGAGGCTTTTGAGTATGACATCATTATCAGGCTGCCCATTAGTAGAAAACTAGTTATCAGCTATCCCAGTTATTTATTTATTTATTTATTTATATTTTAAAATAAAAACAAATCACTCCCAATAATTGATTTATAAGTAATCAATTTAAAATTCCGTAGGATTTATATTAAGATTTTGTATAAACTACAAAGTGTAATTCTGATTGAACAAAGAAATTGGAATACGAAATGGACTTTCGAACAAAGAAATTGGAATAGGAAATAGAAAAATTGTAAAACGTTTTATCTGGACCTTCTCGGTGCCTACACGAAGGGATCGAGTCCAAAGAATAGAAAAGTAACAAAAACTGTTACATTGTATTTTTCCCCTCTTACTTTTAGTGACGAGATTCACGCCATCAGAAGAAATTACAGGTACTCTCTCTCTCGATTGAGACGAAGTTAACCGATTCGAACTTTAGTTTTTATAATTAGCTTTCCTCCAATTTCTGCTTTTTTTTAGAAAATTCTCTTTTCTAGGGTTTTTTTTTCTGGATGAAAAGTTCGAGTCTCACAAATCATCTACTTTGTTTTGTTTTTGTTTTTGTTTTTCTTAAGTTTTTATTTATTTCAATTTTCAACTCTTAGATCTTAGGATGTTCAACTCAGCCTTCATTCTAATTGCTGTAAACTTGAAAAATTCTTGTAGTTTTGGTTCATTTTTGGTTGCTGGAATTTAAATTTAACAATTGGCGCCTCTTTTATAGTTGTTATTCCAAATCTGCCAAATAAAGCAATAAATATATAATAATAAATTCTTTTCGTACATTTTTAAACTTAAAAAATTCATGGTTTATTTACAGCTTCATAGCTAGTGATGAATTTGTGTGGCTCCAGGATTTGACACGAGTCTTTGTCACAGCGTTTATCGTTGGAACTGAAGTTTTGAGTTGATGGCGAGGATCAAACCACAAGCTCTGCTACAACAAAGCAAAAAGAAGAAGGGACCAGCTCGAATAAGTGTTACAACAATTATACTATCTAGTTTGATTGTTGTTGTGACTGTGTTTTTTCTCTATGCCACATACAGACACTGGTCTCAAAGGTTCGTTGCAATTTGGGTATTGGCCATAATTGGAGATATGTGAAAATAATTTGGCTGGGATTTTGTGCTGCAGTGTTTTTAAACTTTGTTATCTGCTTGGCTTGTTGATTCATGTATTTTACTTCATGACTTGCTAATTTCAGAGCATGACATTTAGAAATGAAGCTGCTTGTGGAGAATAAATTATGGTTAATATTTCTTAATCAATGGAATTTGACTTAGTTTTCCCATCTTTAGGTCACGGATTCAAATAGGGAACAAGCAATCAGTTTTTGAGGTACACTCTTTAAAGAATCTTATTTATTCATTCTATGATGGGTTTCTTGATCCTCATGGTGTCGTATTTGTTTTAAGTTTTTGTTTTGTAGCTCTGAACTCTGTGTCCAGTATCGATATATCATCCTTTTAGGACAATTGAAGGCAGCTTTTCACTGTTCTTGTGCACATGTATACCTAGTTTATGATGCTTGCCATTACGAGGCATTTCTTCTTTTCATTGTTATTGATTCTTTAATTTTATATCCTCTGTATTGACTGTGGCTGCTTGTGTTTGGCAGGGTGACAACTCTTACATGAATTCGAAGAAATCTGATCTCCGTGGATATGCTGTACGTTTCTTTACTTGCCAAGCTCTCCTCTAATTAATATTTTCTGCCTGCGTGAATAATGTCTACTCTTTGCGGTACAGGCCTGGAACGTGCTGTTTTAGTTTTCTGAAACAATATTGTAAAACTTTGCAGATTGACCATAGATGATTAACTTATAATTATTTTTCTTATCCAATGCAAATATCTTTTATCTATTCAACTAGCTTTCTGCAAGTAATTCTTTCTTTAGCTTGCTGACACAAGCTTCTCTGAGTACATGAATTTATTAAAAGATATTACAAAAATAATTAGTTTTTTTTTTTCAATATTTTCTTACAATCTTGACAGGCTAGCCTTTCTTAATGAATGAAGTTTGGCTGAGATGTTCATCAATTGCTTTGTCATAGCTTTTAGGCTTTTACATTGAAATCCTATTTTAACTGGGTTTTGTCGATTGACTTAATTCCCTTTTTTTCCTTTCTTATGACTAGATTTTAGATACTGCAAAAGGCTTAATAACAGTGGAGCTCTTCAAGGACAGTTCTCCTGAAGTTGTTGATCAATTCCTTGATTTATGGTAACTATTGGACTCATAATGTTCATTTTACTTAAAATGGAGTATTTTCTTTATCTAGAACTACCATAAAATTCCTTGCGGTTAATATTTGAACTGGAAATAAGATGTGGATAGAGCTGATCAGATCCTGCTTGTATTATAGTCAAGAACAGCTTTGAATCATTTTCTGTAGATCACATTTCCTTTTATTTCTGAATTTTGGGCTGTAATCTTACAGAATTGCCATCTGTTTTGGCTTCATGATGTTGATTTTGTTGGTTGAACATTCTGCATCATGCCTATCAAGAAGGCATGAAATTTATCAATATTATTTTAATTCCTAAGCATCATGCTGAGAGTTTGGTTTAAACTGGCAAATTAATTTAAAGGAATTGATTTGGAGGTTCCATCTAGTTTGGGTCGGTGCTAAATCAAGTTTAGCCATTTATTTATTATCTGGCATCTTTGGGCACAAAATGGTTTTCCCATTTATTTGTACTTCAAGTAGTTGTTGAAACATGGAATCAGGCTGCCAAACACCTGTAGGCATGCTGGAGTTTCTTTCTTTGGTTTTATTTTTTATTTTTAAATATATATTATCCTCCCTTTCTCTTGCTAAACATGGTGTGCAACTGAATTTCATTAACCTGTGCAAAGGAATAACATCTGTCTTCCAAAGTTATCCTCACTTATAATGAATTTGATTGATCTGCAGTCATAGAGGGCAGTTCAATGGAATGCTTTTTCGCCATGTGGTAAAGCACTATGTGATTCAGGCTGGGGATAATGATAAGCTGGGAGCTGCAGAGGACTGGAATTTAAAAGGAAATCATTACAGCCAACTTGATACCAGGTCAGTACATTGATGATTGAGCTCATATTACCCATTAGTCATTCTCCTTCTTCATTGATTTACCATCCTGTCAAAGGCTTGACAGTTCATGCTTTTAATATTTTTGTAACTTAAATTCTCTGATGTTCAACCAGTTTGAAGCATGAAGTATTCATGCTTGGAACTTCTAAGGCAAAGCATGATAATGAAGGATTTGAGCTTTTCATTACAACTGCACCCATCCCAGATCTAAATGAGAAGCTTATTGTCTTCGGGAAGGTCGTTAAGGGAGAGGATGTTGTTCAGGTAACAAGCAAACTTTAGTTTCTTTTTTTAAGTGTTTGTGATGACTTTTTTTAAAGAAATAGTTTGATTACTAAGTACATAGATAATCTGTATTCATCGTTGGACTCATTTAACATGTTTTCCTATGATCCTATCTTTCACGTGGTTGTCATTTTCAGATAACATTTGTCATATACCTAAGAAGTTGCACTTTAAATTACATCAATTGTGTTTTATAATATTTTGCCCAGGAAATCGAAGAGGTGGATACAGATGAGCATTATCGACCTAAATCTTCTATAGCGATCAACCGTGTGACTCTGAAGCAAAGCATCTAAACTCAAACACAAGCAAAGAAGTTTTCTACACTGCATGTTCTGTCATTACAAACAAAGTTTCAGCAACATCAGTAAAATGGGTCAGAAGAATTATTATGAACTTCATATCTCATTGGGGCTGGTATTATTCACGGTCTATAGGCCAGCCAAGCTCCTCGGAATAAGTCTCTGGTTCCACATTTGGTTACCCTTTTTTACTAACCTACTGGCATTTTCTTTTCTTTTTTTGGCATTTGTTTTCATGTCTGTTTTGATATTCTAATGGACATCGTATTTGTACTTTGGTATAATCAAGTGGATGAGATGTAACTTACCTGTCCAATAGAGAAATCGAAAAGGTGCTTGTAATTTCTGAGAATGATCTACCCTCATATTTTGGACCCCGAGGCCTATGTCGTGGTGCTCATTTTCATAGCAAGTTTTTGGTCTGTGTATGCAAAATTTTCTTTGCAGCTTTCTGACAATTATCCCAAAGTTGATTTAGGCGAGATTCGAAATTCGATTTGATTTCAATCAAATTTTATGTTTTAAGTTTAAATTTGACTCAAAATAAAAATTAAATTATTTAAATTTATTCGATTAATATGTACAAATAAATTTAATTTTTATATATAAAAAATTTTAATTATTTATATTCAAATTTAAGTTTAAAATATAAAAATTTATTTAAGTTTATAAGTTATTCAAGTTGAATATAAAAATATACAAATTTAATTCAACCAACAAATTTGAGTTTAAGTTTGATTCGATAATAGTCTAAGTCAAATTTTAATTTTATTCTAATCAAATCGAAAAAATTTACAAGTATCATATAAATCTCTAATTGATCTCTTACAAAAGGAGCTACTTGGAATATTATTGAATCAACTAAAATATCGCGGTTCGCAGAAATACTTATCAAAAGTAGGCACTAGAAATGATGCAACCTTTTAGTGACGTCTAGCAACAAAACAAGTACGGTAAGAATTAAGCAATAGAAACTCCAAATTTTCCAAATAATTGTGGGTTGGTAACAGCCTCGGATTACAACATTACTCGGGGCAAACATTTACAAGCAAATTCTGAAGGTCTTGGCTTAGTTCAATACCATCGTTTTCCAACCTTTTACGCATGTCAGGAGCCACTTTACCAGCAGCTACATAAGTTCTTAGCAACCAATGGTAGGCATCAGAATCAAGACAATTGTTATTCTTCAGAATTTTACAGAACTCCTCAGCAGCATCAACGTCACCCTTATTCATGAAATAATCGAAGAAGGCAGTTGTAGTTTCAGGATTCGAAGGGCTCCAGTCATTGATCTCAGAAACCGCTGCTTCCATATGCCTCAGAGCCAAATCAAAACGACGTTTCTTTAAGAAGTAAACCATGAAACACTCTCGAGCCCTAGTAAAAGGACCTTTACTTCTCTTCATAGCATTATCCAAAACAAGTTCAGCTTCCTTGTGCATGTCCCCTGATAGATAACCACGGATAGTACTAGTTGCCAACCTCATATCATAAACAGAATAATTAGACTCCCATTCCTCAAAGCATTTCTTCAACCCCTCAAAATCCTTGAGATTAGCAAGTGCCTGAACTATAATAAGATAGCTCAAGTTGGTAACAGTCGAATAGGCTCGTTTCAGAGCTTCCCACACTCGATAAACCTCAGCTAGATTTGAAGTACCAGCATATAAGCTAATCAGAAAATGGTAAGCCTCGCGCTGACGAGGCATCTTATCTTTCTCTAACTTCTTAAGACATGCCTCAGCTTTCTCAAACTGGCCAGCCTTAACATAAATTGCAGCTAGATTACTATATGTTGTCCAAGTACACTTATCTTCACTATCATTTGACAACTCCTCCAAAACCCTCTCTACTCCCTCAATGTCATTTAAATTCGCATAGCTCTGCATCCAGAAAATATAAGTGAAGCGACACCGAGGAATATTTCTCTGCTTCAATTCATCGATAAGTTCAGGCACCTTCTCTGGTTGTCCCAATCTCATGTACAAGCACATGAGATTGTTGAAGGGTAATGCACTTTTGATGAGCTTCACTTCATCCATTTTCTTAAAGAGAGTTAGTGCCTCGTCCTTCATAAGATTATTGCAATAGCAATTCAAAAGAGCTCCGTAGGTTAATCGATTCTTGGCACCGGGAGGGAGGGCACTTAGGTAATCCTTAGCAGCACCAAGTCCTTTGGTTTTTGCTATAAGATCTAAACGTATAGCATGGTCGACGTGGGAAAACTGCATATTCCTCTTCTCCATCCAATCCATTATCTACATTATAATTACCATAAACAAATAAATTACTAGCTAAATTCAAATTAAATAATAGGGTATTTCTTTTTTTTTTAAAGGAAAATAAATCTGAACGAAAATCAAATTAGAAAAATGTTCTTTAAGTTTTTAGAAGCAAGGGGAATAACGGGGGAGGGGTTTAGCAGTCCAAAGGAAATGAGGAAGGGTAAAATGGGAAGTAAGGGCATACGTCAAGGCAGTGCTGGTACCGACGGTACTTGCGCAGCTCTTTGACACAGCGACTCAGCTCATCTTTCCAGATCTTTTTGCCCTCCATTATGATATCGTTTAACACCTCTGACACCGTTCCTCCCGTCGCTCCTAAAGCCGACAGCCTCGAATATAACCTATTTCTCGTTGGAGCCGCCACCTCCACAGCTGCCGCCGTCGCATTCTCAGAGGTCGCAGTGCAAAACTTCCTCACCAGCCATGATCCCGACAAAATCAGACGCCTAGAGTTCATCTCTCTCACTCTCTCTTTCCCTCTTTTTTGAGATCCAGGCTAGCAGCCAGCCACCAAGGGCTTTATTCGGGTTTAAGCTTTTCTTATTATACTAGCCAAAAACTGTGATGATAGTAAACGACAACGTTTTATTCCTTTTTTCTACCCTAACAAGACGCAGCGTTTTTAATCGAATCTACATTTTTAAAAGGAAAAAAGGCGTTATTATTATTTTTCAAGTTTTGGCGACTGAAATGAAAATGAAGCCACTGGCTCTGGCTCTTCACGGTCCTCAGCAAACAATCGTGTCATCATGTCCTATTTACCGGCTTCCTCCATCTTGCTCCTAATCTCTACTTCAGAGTTCAGAATCGCAGATTTTTGTGTCTTTTGCTCATCTGTTCTGTTCCATCCAAAACAGTGCTTTTTATTCTGAAAATTGAAACCTTTTTTCTATAGTAGTGTTTTCTTTTTCAGATAGAAAGGGAAAGGTCCAAAGCCGGTTAACAATATAGTGAGCTTGTTAACCATGTATCTGAGATAAACCGAGAAATGCCTTAGAGAGACACAATGGGCTGATGTAAATACACGTTAGGCACCAGCGGTCCAGGTAGAGAGAGAGAGAGAGAGAGAGAGAAGAAACTATCACAAGCCATAATTTTATACCAGGATTTCACTGTAGCAAAATTGCCCTACAACTGTCTACCATATATATCTCTCAATCGCTCAAGGGATAAAAATCAAAAGTTTGTTGGTTTAAAAATTATCATGTACGTATCAAAATTTGTCCATTTATTCAAACCCCATAGCCAGTATCACCAGTTGAGTTGTGCTTGTAATTGAAGCAAGACGAATGAGCATTTTCCAGCCGTTTCAGCTCTCCAGAGTCCAACCCCGAGAAAGGAACTTATCCAACAATTTTCTTTCTCCGCTTCATTTGCAAGCTTAAATTTAATAATAACATTGGACAGATGAAATCAAGATCAGGAATTCCAACTCGTAAGGTGTACTCGACATTTGACAACACTCTCCAATGTCTAGAATATAAAATGCTCCACAACTGAAACAGTCTTAAAGTCCAAGAAGGAACATACAATAGAGCTACAAGTCAAATAAAGCATACGTTAAATCAACCAATCATTATTCTTTTCTTTTCCCTTTGATCCCATTGCTTCGTATTTGCTATATTCATAAAGTCATGGAATATAGCAATGAAAAATGCACTATGGCTTCAGTAATCTAGTGGCAATGAAAAATGCACTATGGACCTATTATTCCAAAAAAATTCCACTGCTATTAAAAAGTATTACCAACTCTATCAACAAAATCAATATTCTACTCAAATAAGAACAGATGAAAAATTAAATTCTAGAACTAAACTATCAAATTAAACCGAATTTAGAATTAAACAAAATGCAGAAAGTGTACTTACTAAGCATGATAATTATACAGACAAGGTTAATTCAAGCTTTGAACAGATAAAAGTTTCCTCTCTATGTAAATAGCATCATCCATCAATGTATAAGTACTATTGGTCCCACCCAGGGGGCCTCCGTCTTTCTCTAGGTCTATCTCTGGAACTGCAAAAACAAAACCAAGTACGAGCTTAATTAACATAGAAGTCATGGTAAAAAAAAAAAAAGCACCGCAGAATGGTATCATAAAATATCAGCTGAAAAAAAAGGACCTCTCTGAATTCCTCTGGCTAGTGCTTTGTCCAGTATTTCGTGAAGTGTTCAATCCGGATGTAGAATGAACTGGCCATCTGAGACTGATTTATATCTCCCACCAATGGTACTGCCAGAAACAAATCCAGCCAAAGTTGGTCTCCTGACACTAGAACTGTTAGTGAAGCCTTGACTTTGAGAGTTTGATGAAGCAGCAACAAAGTTACTCCTAAATTGCGCCATCATGCCAGTTTTCAGATAATTTACAGCAGCATTTCGACTTTGAACAGCTGGAGATGAAGCTTTACTGGATTCTGGATTATATCCAATACCCAAACCATAATCAACTCCGCGCACACCTCGACCACTCCCACCACCACTCTTTCCTCTGCCTTTTTTCCACCTGCATGTTATAGTACACATCATTTGAGAGTTCAAGGTACTTTCATAAATCCAGAAAATATAAATTATCTAGGAAAAACATAAACAATGTTTTCATTGCATTAACAAAAGCTTGTTAGCGGTTTTACATATTTGTTCCTTCACAAAAGCTTAAACAAAGTTTAAGTTGCATATAAACAAGCATATGCATAACAATTGCACCGGTATGCCATAAGAGAACCATACCTCCTTTTCTTGCATCATGCTTGGACCTGAATCTCCCATCCTATTTACAGACAAGGCAAATATCACTACATAATTATAGTACATGTACACCGAATCCAATAGCTACAAGTTCAAGAATGGAGAACTAATGAAGTGTATAAGATGGTGCCATCAGTCATGGGTATTGTTGGCAGGCATTCTTGAAGAACACCAAAATTGAAGAACAAAAAGGATGTTGCAAATTGTTTTCTAATAACTTTAATGAATGCCATTCACTACAAAATAAATATTAATTAAGTAATTGAATTACCTTCATAGCAAGATCCATCAGTTCCATTGAGACATTCTGACCAGCAGCAATCAAACTATTAACCAATTCACCAGCAAACCGAGCTTCCTTCTGTGGTGTGATCAGAGTATACACAATGCCATCTTTATCACCAGCACGACCAGTTCTACCAATTTGGTGCATATGCATGTCCATGTCTTTTGCATTATCAAAGTTCACAATTGACTTAATTGACTTGATGTCAAGATCAAGGGCAGCTACATCAGTAGCAATGAGAAAGCGGTAGATGCCAGATTTAAACTTTTGTAGAATTTCCATTCGAGAAGACTGATCTTTGTCACCATGAAGGGCGGAAACCTTAAAACCCTTCTGAGCGAGCTGTGATTGAATCTCATCGACACTAGCTTTCTTTGAAGCAAACACCAAAACATCACCCTCATCAATCATTCCACGTAGCTTTTCTAGAAGCCCAGGTAACTTCTCAGAATCAGAAGGAATTACACGAACAAGCTGAGTAATATCCTCATTAGCTATTCAACTGTAACTCTGATTGGGCTACCGAGAATTTCCCTTGCCAACTTCTCAACTTTCCGGTGCATTTTTGCTGAAAATAGTAAGGTCTGGCGGTCAGGCCTAATTCGGCCAACAATGGACCTTATTTGTGGCTCAAATCCAAGGTCAAAAATTCGATCAGCCTCATCCAGTACCAAATAATCCAGTACCAAATAAGTTGCTCTCGTCATGTCAGTAACTTCATTTTTAGCATGTCTATCAATCGACCTGGCATAGCAATGACTATCTCACTTCCTGCCTTGAGTTCCCTGAACTGATCAAGTTTGGACATTCCACCATACACAGCAGAGGCACGTATCCCATAGGCTTTTGCAAATTTCCTTGTTTCCGACAATATTTGATGTGCTAGTTCTCGGGTAGGTGCACAATCACTCCAATTGGGCCCTCCTCTTTCTGAAGTTCAGGTTGATCCATGATGTGGACAATCATTGGAAGCACAAAAGTAGCAGTTTTACCAGAACCAGTTTTAGCTATACCAATAATATCCCTCCCAGAGAGGACAATAAGTAAGGCTTGGCACTGAATATTGGTAGGCTTTTCATAACCTTGTTTTGAAATAGCACGCATTGTTTCTGGTGCAAAACCACAGTCTTCAAATGTCTCAATCAGTCTTGGGACGTCAAAACCAGAAACACGAATAGCCATACTCTTCCGAAATTCAGCAACTTCCTGCTTGCTCATTCCTAGACAGGGAAACATTTAAAGAAAAAAAGATTTTAGGCACAAAGCATTCTCAATAAATAATATGATCCTTTTTATAAAGAAAAAACTCCCACATTATAAGCAATAATGACTAACCAAGCCATGATGCATATTATTTCTGCACAATGATAATAATCTCCAAGGGTCATTAACTATCATTAGAAAATCATAAACCAATTATACTTCTAAATATAGACTTTAGAAGTTGCTCCGGTTATAGCTACATAAGCACTATATTGCAATCAACCAAGCCATATACAAACTATAAGTAATCATCTAACAATCCAACTAATCTTAAACCCATACAATATCATCAATAACTAAAGATAATCCAACATTTTTAAGATAAACTTATTCAATATAAATAAATGAATAAATATATATATATATACATATATATATTTATTTATATTTAAGAAACGACTCTGCTTTTAAACATGTTAGAACTTATAAGCATCTGATATTTTGCGATGTCAATTACCTGAAATTGAAGTCTTCTCATCATAAAAATTTTTATTAAACGGCTCATACTCAATGGAACTGTGAAGCCAGAATCGGCTTGATCTTCTTCTTGTCCACAACCACTGGATTGTCATCTGAATCATACTCCAACAAACCCGCATCTACCGCCTTTGCCGCCGCATAAACCTCCTCATCCGAATCATACCCAGCATGCAAAGCATCCGCCGCCAACGTCAGCCCAACATCCTTCTTCGCCCTCAAAAAACTCTCCACCGGGTCATCCTCCTCGTCATCATCTCTATACCTCTCCGCCTTCTCCTTCGGCTTCTGAGGCGGCGCCGCTTTCAGATCCTCCTGAAAACCATGCATGAACGCGTCGAGAGGGTCAATTTCGTCATCTTCCTCTCCGGTCCCATTGCTGTTGGGTTTATGATTGTCAGCGTCTTTGGAGGTATCATTATCAGTGTAATCGATGTTGTCAAGGTCGCTGTCTTCGTAATTGTCATGACCGTCGCAAGAGGAAGGAGGGACGTAGAGGCGCTTAGGATCCTGGGATCGCTCGAAGTTGTAAGTAGCTTGACGGTTTATCCCAAACCCTTCGAATCCGAATTTTCGTTTCGACGTGGTTGATTCTTTTATTTTTACAAGAACCCTAATTTCGCAGGGGTTAGGAATCAAAAACAACAACTAGCACTAATTCTAGGAGAAACAAATTGAAATCGCAATATAAAAGAGAGTAAAGAGTTGCGCGCTGGAAATTAATCAGTGATAGAGCTGTTGGGAGGGCGATTCCATAGTGGATTGGGCAAGTCGGTCCAGGTCCAGGATCAATCCAGTCCGGTAGTTCTAAGAAGTGATGAAGAGTTCAGAGATATTTGGTCTTAGTCGAATACTGGGCTTTTCACAAGCAAAATATTGGGCGATATGTCTGAACCAAAACAATAACCATAAACATATGGGAACCCATATTTAAGGATTTTTTGAAAAAAAATGTTACAATTAATATATTCTTTTTA